AGAAATGTACAGTTTTTAAAGGCCCTCGCTGAGCTATTTTCTGCCCATTACGTCTTTTGTTTTGCCACGTCCTCGTCACCGTTACCGTCGTGGTTTTTGCTAAGGTACCTAGTTCTTACACTGTCAAACATAATTTCTCTTTCTTAAGCGTAACTGCTTTCTTAATAATCAAACAAAAGAAGTAATTGTGTTCTACAAGTATTAGCATTTTGGCCAATTTCCGTTGCGGCGCGAAATTGAAGACGGTCACAATGACAAAAGCAATGCCCCGGTATCTATATGGACGCTCAAAAGGTTATAACTTCTAAATATCTACTAGTAGCATATACAATCTCTGACTGGCAAACTTCAGAGCAATGAGATGGATTCATAAACCAAAGTTAGAAGACTACGCGTATATTTCTTTTTTAATCAGTCATCGCAGAGCGACAGATTGAGGCACTAAAAATGAAACGAGTTAATTTTCGTTTGAGGCCGCTGAACAGTTAGTCTTTTATCCAAAAAACGAAGGCCACAATTAATTATAAACACTTCCGCTCCGTTTATAGTGCGCCGTAAGATCGAAAATAAGCCGACTTTCATGAACGACAACCGTGGAAACCCCCATAGTTTATAATCGTGGTACCGAGATGACCTTTGCTAACGGCAATTATCAATTTCCAGCTTTATGAGGTATAGCAAGATGTTTCCAGATGACACTTCGCCGATAGAGATCAAGACCCCAAGAAAAAATACGAACCTTCTACGAACGCATCGGGCGAACACGTAGCGTAAACTTTAATATCTTCCCACCGAAAAACTCTCGCCAGAGAGAAAATTAGTGAGTTTCGTCAAAGCAAAAACTAATATGCTAAGATATAAAATGCGAACGGAAATTTTTAATGCTTATGTAGGAAATTCGCCAACGTTTTTGTTTGATTTCATAACAAAGCAATTACGTTAAAGAAAGAGAAATTTTGGTTCCGAGTATTCCGGAATACTCGGAATACCCGGATCGGAGTACCCGGAATTCCTGGAATGACCGAAAAATATTAAATTTTTAAAAAATAAAAGTAAATTAACAAATAAATAAGAATGTTGATGATTGAAAATTAATGGTAAATTCACAACTTAATTAAACAATTTAATACGAAATTTTCTCTGAGGGTCCCGGAAAAAAAACACTTACCGGCACTGTTTATGGAGATGCACGTATTAGAATTAAAAAAAGTCTGCGTCAGGCCAGTAGCCCACACAACTTAAGCGAAGAAATATTTCTACTCTCCCTTTCCCCTGGATGGGATGCTAGTCCNCCACATACACCTTAAAAGGTGTTGGCGGGTCTACGAGACTCCTGTAATTCGCAAATAATTTCTCAAGCCTTAATATTTACCTTAGCTCTTACTGATATGTCTGTTAAGCCTGCTGCTTAGTGAATACGTCTTGCATGACAGTTTGCATAAGACTTTTGGAAACGTTTGGAAATAGCACATATTTAGACGTAAAACAAAAACAAATAATGTCTCCTGCCTTCGAATGTTGGAACTGAAGGCCAGTGTTCGTTACAAGCTATCACAGATGAAAAGCAAATGGCTACAAGAGTACTCATCGGAAAAGATTTAATCCATCAACATATGTTCATACTGTGCCCTAAAACAACAATTATCGATTGTTAAAACTACGGGGGCGGGAAGATGAGAGACCCTGGGAACGAGGTCGATTTCGAGAACACGGTATTGTTTTTCAATCAATAGACCAGGCAAAGAGGTATGGTACTCTTGAACGAGCAAGGTGACCTTAGCCTTTCATTGAATAATTTTTGTGTACAAAGTTATCCCATCTAAATTGGAGAGATCAAAAACAAAAGTCTATTAATGGAAAAAAAGATAGAGCCAAAAGCGTGCACAAATTTCGTTACTCGATGATGCAAGTTATGACCTTAAAAGCAACGATTTGAGGAACCTTTTGGGTCGATGTCGTTTAAAAGTAGGTGGTTTTTCCATAAACTACATATCAACTTGTTCTAGACACTTTCTACCTATCAAGTTTTTCTGTTACTTAGTGAGCCGAAATAATATCGTTTATAAACTCGAATATTTTTTACTGAACTAAATGAAGTTGACAAGGTGGCGTTTGTAGTCAGCCAGGAATGAAAAAGATTAGGAAGGGGTTGGGGCGAACTCAATTGAAGTAGAGTTTATTTGCTTGGACTATAGTGGATTGGACTGGTTTGGAATAAATTGCTCTGACTTGAATTTAATTGAAATGCATTGAAATTAAAACTAGTAGATTGGGTTAATTGGATTGAAGAGGGTCGGAAAGGGCAAGCTAATGTAGTTTATGGCGAATTAAAGTAGATTTGGGTTGGATTAGATTGTATTAGCGTGCGATGGAGTAGACTGGGATGAAGTTTGCCGGCTTTTCCACCCACAATGTCGTGCAGGTGAAGGCCGCATTCATTTTATTGCACAATCATCCAAGATCTCTTGGTGTGATGAATACAAGTATAATGTTGATCCTCAAGCTAACTCTAAGCGCTAAAATTGAAAAGCTAACCTCAATATTTGCCTTGTTTCAAATTAGGGTTTTACATGTCTTAGTGGTATCTATAATGAAAGGAACGAATTTTTCCGTTGTGTTAGTAATGATAATTTCTAGAACAGTTTTTTTACGATGCATACAACCTGTTAACAGTATATAATTCTCGACGTGTTATCATTATAATGCTATGTTGTTTAGAGCACAATTTGCATTTCCTGGAAACAGATCCACAAGCGTTCCCGATGACAAGCGGTTCTGTACGTCAAGTACTTTCATTTGTGTCTGGTGTAGCTGGTTTTTGTCGTAATGATTGTTGCTCATCACTGCAAAGGACTGGGCCTGTTGGTTCCACACGCAGCAGCCCGCCGTCCAAACAGCCCGAGGAGTTACTAGTTTTATTTGTCTTTGTTTCACTGTAAATTCGTCCGAAAGGACCGGCTTCGGCACGTTGTTGAGGCCCTTTTCTGATCTGCCTGTCAGTAGGTAAAGGGTTCCTTGGCGGTTTAGGTTGCCACAGGTATTTTTGGCATAATCTCTTATCTTTCTCTCAAAAACCTGCCAGGGTCCGCTGTTTGATGCTTGGAACTGTGGTACAGTATTGGTGAGAGTGAAAGTAGCCCTCATGAAATTTTTGTCAAAGGAATTGATTGCAGAAGGATTCATATGGCCTCTGGTGAGTACTGCTACTGCCCCGAAGTTGCTTTTGGCTTCTCTGTTGGCCGCAGTATAGGCACCGTTGACACCAGGGACATCTATAATCATAAGTCTTATTGTAAGATGAATACGGATAAAATTCTTACCCTAAAAATCTCAAATCATATTCTAGGGAATAAGATGACGTTATTATCCAACTGCACTAAGAAGAGTACAATTTACGAGCGAATCGAATACAAATATCACGCGATATTGTACATGTGCATTATTAACCAAACGTGAGGTAAAGATTGCGTGAAACAACGAGTTAAATACTCAACGATACTACGCAACAAAACGTCTAATAAGAGATTCATTATCCAACACTTTATTTCAGTGCGGGCGAATCTCGCGGATATTTCTGGAGTACAAATATCGCGTGATATTTGTACCCGTCTCGCACGTTATTTGTACTCTACGAAGCACAGTTGAATAATAAATTTGGTTTTTTGTATCGTAAGAAAACCTCTTTAGCCGGCTAGCTGCGCGCGCGACGCTTATCTATCTGCCTCCCTTTTCCCACTCTTTAAGAAATGCGCATAAAATAAAGCAGTTGTGAAATAAATAACTTAATGCGTGCATTTTTGAAAAATAATCAGCGATACTACACAGCAGAAGGTTTAATACTCGTTAAAGACTGAATAGTGATCTTTGAGCAATTCAGGGAGCAATATCGTTTTTTTTTTCGCCTTTACTGAGATTACGAGATCATGAGGCCTTTTGATTGCACTCTCATTTTTCTTGAAAACATAGAGATTCATTGAAAACAAGGCGTTTTGAGGAACAAACGGATAGAGAAGCCTCTGAGGGGTTAGTCCTTCCACTGAAAACTCTGCGGCGGAAGGTCACCCACTTCCTTGGTGGCCTTGTGTGTTTTTTAACAACGCAGAGCATACTCTAAACCTCAGTACTTGTTTTATGGATTGATTGTCATCCAATCGGGCTTGTAATAAATAATTGTTGAATGTTCATTTTACATACTTGGAGGGTTCCTCCAATTTGCATTAGGTCTCGGAAACTTCCCAAGGTTCGTTGCCTGCGCGGGTGTAACTTTGTAAGCTGAATAAATAGCAGTGTTTGTGGTTGGATCAAAGAGGGAGACAAAATAAGGAGGGGTGTTTGGAAGATCACCGCTTCGCTTCTGTTGGATTTCTTTCCCTTGGTTGATGTCAGGGAGGCCAACTGGACGCATGCCTCCAACGAAAAAAAGTCCGCCCCCTAGAGATCTTTTTCCTCCATTTGGCGTTTCCTCTTAAGAAAAGACATACATAATAGGTTACAAAGTTGCAGAGCAATGATTAGGTAGTTTCATCGGATTTATTGAAACACCGATCAGAGATCGATAACAGTGGTCTAAAATTATTACAATTAAGTGGTATCACCATCAGAGTCGAGTGGTTACTTTTACGTCAGTCGAGTCTTAAACTGATTCTGCTTTGTTGAAGCTAATTGGTTAACTTTATCAATGAAAACCCGCGTATATGAACCTTGAATTTAAGAACCGTAAGGCTAAACTTTTCCAGTTAAACATCCTTCACATAAGAGCCTTCCAGGCAGAAATTTCAATACAGGTTCTTATTTTTAGAATATAGAATAGCTATGGAGAGTGACTAAAAATAAGTTTCTAGAAATTTTAGAATGCCTCGTCATGCTGACTTGCAAGCATGGACTTGCGATGGATTTTTTCTAGAATATCCTGTCAGGTTTTATTGTTATTATGTAACACTACCAAAAAAGTGTGGTCGTAAATGCCTGGAATGTTCTGGAATACTTTGTAAACGTACGTACGGAATTGGCCGTGTAGCAGCAGCAGCAGTAGTAGTAGTAGTAGTAGTAGTAGTAGTAGTAGTAGTAGTAGTAGTAGCAGTAGTAGTAGTAGTAGTAGTAGTAGTAGTAGTAGTAGTAGTAGTTGTTGTTGTCGGGAGAGACCGATTGTTTGGAAAGCTATACTAAGAGAAAGAACTGTTGTGGAAGATTGTTAATTTCAAGGAACTTTAGAGAAAACTGTGAGTTCGTGCAGTGGTCAGTTAAGATATAGTTTGTACAGGGCTTAAGTAAGTTAATGAGGATGCTAACTTTATAATCTATTGGAGTCGCTACTAAGTAAGAATATTACACGTCATTTAATGAAATTAGTTGAGTTTGTATGATTGTAGTGTTCTTCGGTCGGTTAAGTTATACCGTAACAGAATTTTTTTCAAGTATATTACAGTACATCTCAAGCGATACAAAAAGAACAACAAAAACTACCCAGAACACTGACATTGTCATTAGATCACAGTACTGTTCTGTCAATACATCCATAGTTCTGCAAGATATCTAACTTTGTATATAAGTTAACCATGTACAGCACGGAACATTAAGGCCGCTATACAGCGCAATGTCATACCCACACCCAAGAATGGCAGTTTATGTTTTAGTAAAACAAATGTTAAGAACCTGAATTAGACCTCAAGTAGTCTAATTTCACAGTAAATACCATTTCTATTCGGAGGCTAACTTGAGAAGATGAAGGTCTTATATGCGGGTTTCCTGTAGCTTTCTTTGGCTACGAATGATTGGTTTCAAATCGCTGGGTAAGGTAGTTCGTTTTCTTCGGCCTGTTCTATCTGGTAATGTCGTGAAGAAAATCATCTCAGGGTACTGGTAGCTGTTTTCATTTGCTGAGGGAAGCTTGTCTTAAGTTGGTTGGTTTAAGTTTAATCTCCTTGGTGAGCTGATAGAACGTTCTAAGAAGGTCGAACACATGTTTCACTTCAAAACGCAACGCAGAATCAACTCCTACGAACGTGACGCGTGCCAAGGGGAAGTGCGTAACGGCGATCAGAACATAACTGTTTTAAGACGAATCTTTCAACAATAAGGCTACACAAGTCGATTTAGTCAACGAAAAAAAAGTCTAGACGTTTTTTTTCTTTCTTAGAAACAACTATGGGAACAACGAAATTAGAAGAAAGACGCGGGAAACGAATC